CTCGGGCCTTCGTGAGGAAGACCAGCATCTTCATCATGGATGAGGCCACAGCTTCCATCGACATGGCCACAGTCAGTCCTGGGCATGCCCGTGGGGTGGCAGTCTTGGAGAGAGTTTAGTGGGGTGTTAGGGAAGGGTTGTACAAAGTCATCCTGAGGCTCAGGTAGCTTTTAACATCAAGGGTGTGGTAGCTCGTGCCTCTAATCCCAGCACTTTGGAAGGCCAAGGTGGGAGGATCACTTGAACCCAGGAGTTTGGGATCAGCCTGGGCAACATAACCAGACCCCATCGCTACAGAAAAAAAAAAAAATAAGCCAAGTGTAGTGGTGTGCATCTGTAATACCAGTTACTTGGGAGGCTGATGCAGGAGGATTGTTGAGCCCAGGTGTTCAAGGTTTCAGTGAGCTATGATCGTACTGCTGCACTTCAGCCTGGGCAGCAGAGCAAGACTCAGTCTCTGGGGGAAAAAAAATCAAGAGCTAAGTGTGGCAGAAAAGGTAAAGGGCTAGGGAGACCCTAACTCCATCTGGTCTTAGGGGATGTTCATACACACACACACACACACACACACACACACACACACACACACACATATGCAAACACACACATAAAGACATAAACACACAAACATGCAAACACATACACACATGCATAAACACACAGACACAAATACACAAGCAAATAAACACAAAAACATATACAAACATACACATACACACACACACACACACACATAAATACACACACACCCCCACATAGACTTCACACCATTACTCATCACACAGAGACACTCTCACAACACACAGACACAGAGCTGAGCTCCCAACAGGCCGAGTCCAGTTTCTGAATACTGGGAACCTGATCAGTTCCATGGAGATTAGGCCCAGAGAGAGGGTGGGGGTGAGCGAGGATTGGGGTCAGATGGGAGCTGGGCCCCAAACCTGGGCCCCATATCCCCAGAGCCAGGCCAGACCCTGTCCTCTGGGCTGGCGAGCCAACAGCTGCTAACCCCACCTGGCAGGAAAACATTCTCCAGAAGGTGGTGATGACGGCCTTCGCAGACCGCACTGTGGTCACCATCGCGGTAAGGGCCCATGGGTGGGGTGCAGGGAACACCCAGAGAGGAGCTGGCATTTCCAGCTGTCATCTGGGGGCAGCCCCTGGGCTCATCTGGTCCCAGTAATCAATAAAGGACCCTGGAGTGGAGTCCGGAGGGCTTGCAGGGAGTCTGGGCTGCAGGATCTGGGGTATGGGGGGACTTGCATCCGTACTTCCCTCAGACTCTCCCTCTCTTTCTCCAGGTTCCAAGGTCTGCCCTGTCCCAAAGCCCTATGAGCTAAGCTGGGGTTACTTCTCCATAGGAAGTGGGGGAGGTGTGTGAGTGTGTGTCTTGGAGCCCGGAGGTTGGGGCAGAGGGGAGAGAATGATGTCAGTGGATGGAGCCACCCCAGGAAAGGGCAGTCACCATAGAGACAAGGCACACTGGCCATGTCTCCTCTAAGCTGCAGGGGTCACACCCTCAGCTGCCGGCCCCTTCCCCTCCCACTGCCCTGACCGGCCCTTCCTGCCCCGCCCAGCATCGCGTGCACACCATCCTGAGCGCCGACCTGGTCATCGTCCTGAAACGTGGTACCATCCTTGAGTTCGACAAGCCCGAGAAGTTGCTCAGCCGAAAGGACAGCGTCTTCGCCTCTTTCGTCCGCGCAGACAAGTGACCTGCCAGGGCCCAAGAGCCAGCCTGTGTCCCCACCCCGCCCCCACCCCCGCCTGGATTTTCTATCTGTAAATCACTTGTAAATAAAGAGATTGATTATTTCCTACCAGAGACCCTGAGTTTGGTGGGCAGGAGCTGGCGGTGGACAGTGGGTGCAGGAGAGCCAGCCTGTCCTTGGCATGGGGCAGACCTGGAGAAGTGTGTGAGCGTGGGCAAAGGCAAGCTTCCTTCTCTGTGAAATTAGGCCTGTGTTGGTCAGACCGGGCTGCCTCAACAAAATCCCGCAAGTTGGGAAACTTTCACAACAGAAACATTTCCCACAGTCCTAGAGTCTAACATCCAAGGCGTTGGCAGTTTAGCTTCTGCTGAAGCCTCTCTCCTTGGCTTGCAGATGAGCACCTTCTCATTGTGTCCTCACATGGCCTTTCTTCTGTGGTCATATCCCCAGTGTCTGTCTCTTCTTATACTAGTATTCTATACCAGTCATACTGTATCAGGGCCCACTCCTGTGACGTCACTTCTCACAAGCCCTCCAACTACATTTACGTTGGGATGACGGCTTCAACCTATGGATTTGGGGGGACACAATTCAGCCCATGTCCAGGGTGACAGCATCTTTGATGAACTTCTCAGATAAGGTAACAGATCTCCATACAGCTTGGTCCTCTTTCTTCTCATTTTTATTTGTGGACTAAAATTGTGAGGTCTGGGTACCCTATTTCCATTGCAAACGACAGGATCCTAACTCAAAGTGACCTAAACAAAAACTTGAATGTATTGCAGCATGTGACTGAAAGCCTAAGCGGTGTCCTATGTCAAGCTTGCCTGGATCTAAGTGCTTGGTATCGGGGATGTGTCTCCACTTCTGGGTTTCGTTTTCCTATTCTGATGACGGATGGAAACTCCGTCCCACATCCTGCCCTAGGGAAACCCAAGAGGAAGAAGAGATGCTCTTTTCCCAGTAGTTCAGCAAAAGTTCTGGGAGAAAATCTCAGTGGGTCAGCTTGGATCACATTCCCACCCCCGCCCAATCACCGTGGTCGGAGGGCTGGGATCCACTTGGTGGCTAGGCCTGGATCATTCCCCCCGAGCAGGGGCATTCAGAAGTGGGAGAAATGGGGCCCTTCAGAGGGAAAGCATGTACCACAAGTCCTCCAGGTGGTGACTGGGAAACATTGGGGCCCAGACACCAGGGAGACTAAAACAGCAGCCGTACTGACTTCAACTGCATCACGAAGCAAAGTGCACACCTGTCCTCAGCCAAGAAAATAACAGGTGCTCATTTGCATCTCATTTTATTACCATTTATGTATCACCCACAGTACTGGCTACTCCAGGCCCCCAGGATGCAGACCTAGGAGGGAGTCTTGAGCCTGCAAGGGGGTCCGAGATGCATAACAGAAGGATAACCCACTGGCCATTGGAGGAGGGCCCAGCACAGACCCTTCTGGACGTTCTAGAAGCCAAAGGAGCTCAGAAAGGAAGAGCTCTGTGAGACCTGGCAGGCTGCCTAAGAGAGACAGGATTTGAGTTGAATATCCGTGAGGGTGGGGTAATCGTGAGGCTGAACCCTTTGCAAGGGTGGGGAGTGGAGTAATCGGGAGGCTGAGCCCTTTGCAGGAGAGGGAGTGGACTCACCACTGTTCCAACAACAGATACCTAGCAGGCCTGCTGAGAGCCAGGCAAACCACAGGAGAACATTTGGCCGGTACCTGGACAGGAACACCACCGCCAAGAGCCCAAGTCCCCCAGAGCCCAAGCCAGCCCTGATACAGCTACTCATTCCTGGACACCTCCCATGACCTGCGGTGAGAGAAATCGGGCTGAGTGTGAGGAGCGTAAAGCAAGTGCCAGCAGCCCACACCCTCTTTAGGGAGGGAGGTCACCACTGAGAAGACGGGCCCGCCAGGCTTCCGGGCCGCGGCACCCCGCTGTACTCCTACACCTACTGATGCAATGATTTTTTTCATGGGAGAGAGTCCAATCTTCCATCAGACTCTCAAGGGATTAAAGACTGAGAAAAGATCAAGAGTGTCCCTCAAAGAGAAGACGCTGTCCCTTGAGAAGTCCTGGCCCTCCGCCCTCCCCCAGCCCCGGGATTGGCGGCGCCGCCCCTCGGTGCTCCCTCTCCCTGGGAACCCGCAAAACCCAGCGCTGCGCGAGAGGCGGATTTTTGACCCAAATACGGATGGGAATATTGGGGGAGGGGAGCCAGGGCGACAGGGACTGCGGTCCCGGACAGGGAGGACGGATCACAGAGCCCTCCCCCACCCTCCAGTTTAATAGCGCGTGGGCAGCAGGAACCTCTTTTGGCCGGTCCCACTGGACGAACCCC